GTTTCACACAGGCGCTGTACGTCCTGCATAGATATTACCTGGTATAGTCCTAAGCAAAAAGAGGTATGGGAATACTTAACTCAAAATGATAACAAATTCAATCTGGAACACTAAATATTCCTTTCATAATATATATGTAATTGTTACTTAACGTTCTCCCTGCTGCCTAACCACATATCCAATACAAACTTGGTGCCAAGATACTACCTTTAAGGCTAGATAAAGCCAGTATAATCTGTACCCACCTATGTGGCCTTTCATCTGAGTGCGTCCTGCGGTGGGAGTACATCTGAGATGACATGGCGAATCGCGAGCCGCACACGTCGCACATGTACGGCTTCTCACCCGTGTGCGTGCGGATGTGTCGCACCAGGTCCGTCTTCCCCCAGAATCCCTTCTGGCAGTACTTGCAGGTGAAAGGTCGCACGCCGCCATGTTTGCGTACGTGCATGTCCAGCCCCGCCTTGGTGCGGTGTCTCTTCCCGCACTCCTGGCACTGGTACGGCATTTCACCTGACGCACGAGGCATTCCATAAATTAGCTTCTCAAGGCAAAAATGAGAAACATGTAACCTTCTTCCACATTTAAAATTCACAGGCAAAATTCTGTGCATGATAAAAACCATACACATAAAATTGCATATCTATACAAAAAGATGCTTAAAATTTGTATGCTTTTGCTTTTTAGTGCAATAATCTAACTTCTAAGAAAGAAACTAAACAAGAGAAAACAATACATAAGTATGCTGCATTAAGTGCAAGCAACAGTTTAGCAACAACTTGCTTTGAGCCTGTACAAGGAATACAAGACTTTGCTCTTTAAATCAAGAAGAAATTTGAAGAAATTATTTTGGCATATTTTAATGCTGATATGAGTTTCATGACTGTAAAATACTTGACAATTTGGTACTTGACAAAAATGCCCAAGAAAGACTCTTATCCTACCAAAGAAACAGTCCAACCCTCCTACCTGTGTGGATTCTCCGGTGGAACTTGTACGCCGTCCCGTAGGCGAACTGTTGTCCGCAGAATTCGCAGACGTAGGGCTTCTCGCCGGTGTGCTTGCGCGTGTGGATGCGCAGGTTGTTGGGGTGGGCAAACTTCATGTCGCAGTACGTACACGGGAAGGGTTTCTCGCCCGTGTGTTTGCGGATGTGCTCCTTCAGTCGGCCCGCCTCCACAAACTTCATGTTGCAGTACTCACACTCGTGCAAGTTCTCTCCTGGAAACACACGAGGGAAAAGTTTACGAACTACATTAGTTGTCTATCATGAAAGTTCATCTTTTGGTAGTTACATGATTACGTAAAACTTTAGACCAGTCACTCTGGTCTTCCTCAGTAGACATATGTTAATTTCACACTTGAGAGAGGCCATGTGACAAGTCTTACTGGGTCAGTCTACTGGGGAAGACAAGAGTGGTTGGATGAAAGCTTTAGGTGAGAACAATTCTCTTCATTGGAACAAAAGTTTTACCTTTAAACTGTCTGAGTTCTCGCCAGATTGTTTGAGCATAGGGGCTCCCTACACTGTGATTTGAACCTCCTACACTGTGATCTAGCCCCTAGTCTACACTGTCTTTTGACCAGTGTAGCGGTACCAGCCCCAACCTTACCTGTATGTCGTTTCTGGTGCGTGTTGAGCAGGTCCTCTGCTATAAACTGTGCCCCACAGATCTCACACTGGAAGGGCTTGATGCCAGAGTGCTTCATCTTGTGTCGGTTCAGCTTCCACACGTCCTTAAACGGCTTGTCACACTCGTCACACTTGTACATCGCCTCTCCAGACTGGAGATGCATTTCTGGAAATAACCGAGAAAATTGTTAGAGAACAGCACACCTCAAGTAAGATCCCATTGATCTGATACAATGTTTTCTACAATTACCGGTAAGTTCCTGCTACATGATACGATAATTTGTCAACCGTTTATCAATCCAAGACCAGGTGGTAGTTCTATGAATATACACAATGACTCACTCTGCACATGTCTGATGAGTTCGGGGGTCCTGACGAACAGCTCTTTGCACAGCTTACAGCGACAGTTCTTGTCCTTACTGTTCTTCTTGATGGTATGGTCTGTTTTAAGATGCTGGGTTAGGTTGGACACTGTTCCAAAACTCTGCAAGAGGTACACACATGACAACATTTAAAAATATATTCAGCAAACCAAAAAAGCAACACCCTGGGAAATTTAAACCGTATTTTATAACACAAGAAATTGGCCTTGCCTAAATTTTCTACTGTACAACTCAAGTCTTTGTCAAGGAATGAAAGATCCACCACTTCTGTGACGTCTCGTTATGCAGATGACACACGTAACCCTGTGAATTGGTTACCGGTAAGTCCAACTTCTTGTGTTGGAAATTACAGTTTGAACTTAAATAAAAATGACTTAAACCAACGCAGATGAAGTTTCAAGATAATCAATAAGTCAAGTCTTTTTTGAGGTACCTTGTCCTCACAGATGTTACACTGGAACACCTCTTGTTTCTCCAGCTCGTGTAGACGTTGGTGTCTGATGAAGTGTCCCTGCTGGGCAAACTTCTGATGACACACCTCACACTCGAACGGCTTGTCGTCTGTGTGCTTGTTCTTCTGATGCTGCATCAGGTTCCCGTATGTCGTACAGACCTGGGGTGGTGTGGTAGTGTCGTTAGATATTTCTGGTGGTTTGAAATTTCAAGTATGTTGATCCCCCTTTTCCCCAAACTGCTAACCTAAGTCCCACTAAACTATAAATAATCAAGTAGTTTTAATCAGCAATAGTGTAGAATAGAATTTGTTGGGAACAGAGGTTCAGAGCTTGTACAATCAAAATACCGTAAATCCAAAAACTTGCTGATGTGTTTGTTTTGGCTATGATAATGTCTGCAGGAAAGAATACATACTTGTGAGACATCCTTTACATGTATATTATTTGAAATGATAAACTGTTTTTGTAAAATGTTTATTCTCATAACTTTTCTCAAAACTTCTCCAGCCAGTAGTGATGGACACCAGCAAGTTTAGCAACAATATTATGAGTGTTTTGTGAAAACGAAGCTCTGACAATTTTGCTTTCCATCCAATGTAATTTTCAATGTTACCTGCACCAGTGCAAGTATGTATCTAAATAGTATTTGGAGCCCAGCCACTGTTTACCTTGCCACAGTCATTACAGGTGTGGGTCTCTGTTGACAACCGTTGTCTCCTACGGCGAGGTGGGAGGGGCGAGGTGGGCGTGGCCTCAGGCGTGGCAGGCTCCGAGGATTCCGTCCGTCTTCTCTTCACATCAGGTTTAACATCTTCACCTGCAAAATCAAGTTCTCATCTTTTAGTAACGTTTTATTTTATTCATTGAGAAGCTGCAAGGATCCAATCATTACTGGACTCAAAAACAAAATCTGCAGGCCCTGGTCTGTGGAGGCAAAGTTGGAGCTGTGCAGGTAAAGTTGGAGCTGTGTAGGTATTTTAGATGTATACAAAATCCAGTTTAAAGAAGCATCATGTCATATAGCAGATTATTGAATGCAAGATGGTACTGGGCCAAAAACACCATTTTTCATGGACTGAAAATGATAGAAATTGAGTTATTCTGAACATAACCTGAACCAGTGCAGGTATGCAGAAAAGAGTATTGAAAAGTCATGTATCAAAAACGTTTTAAGCATTTTAGAATATAAACATTATAATAGGCAAAGTTGCAGGACCAAAAATCATATTACTGTATTAAGTTCTTCTAAGCAACTTACCCTGCTCTTCTCCTGACTCCTTGGTGAGCATGAGTTTGTCTCCTGCTCCCACCAGTGGTGAGAACCCCACCAACGTGTCATCTTTAGGGGCAGTGTTGGTGCCACCTGCGGCAGCTGTCGCCGAACTGCAGATGGGAAAAAAAGGGATCATCACAACAAACTGGTCAGCACTTGAAGAGTCTTTTTGGGGTCAGCCCAAGTTCAATCAGCTTGCAACCTTTTGTCCAGGGACAAATTTGGGATTTTAAAACCTTAAAAAGTGCTATTTCCCACATTTTGATAGGTACATCATGGAATTGAGAGTGGTTGTTGTTAGTCTTTTCTATGTTTTTATCTTTTTACCCAAACATTTTTGTCAGTTTTGTCCACTAAGGTTGACAGATTGGTTTTAAAAATTTTTCTATCACATGCCACAAATTTCCTGCATTTGACAGAAAACGGTGGTGAGAACCCCACCAACGTGTCGTCTTTAGGCGCAGTGTTGGTGCCACCCGCTGCAGCTGTCGCTGAACTGCAGGTGTTAAAAAAAAGGAGTCAGAAATACCGCAACAAACTGGTCAGCACTTGAAGAGTTCAAATCTTACTGGCCCAATCACTGAATCAGGGCTCTAGCTAGCTTAAATTTTTTTTTGTCAGCCCTGGTTCAATCAGCTTTCAATTTGGGTGGATTTCCAAGCCTTTAAAAGTGTGATTTCCCACATTTTGAAAGGTAAATCATGGGTTTGGGAGTGGTTGTTGTTGATCCTTTGGATGTATTTATACTTTTATCCCAGATTTTTGTCAATTTTGTCCAGCAAGGATGGCGGATTGGTTTAAAAAAATTTCCATCACATGTCGCAAAGTTCCTGCATTTGATGGAAAACGGATGCTGCTGCTTTTCTCAATGATGCCTTAGCAACAGATGATTACCGTGTTGTAGTTTGACACCGTTTGGCCGTGGCGGTGACTCGAGCGCCTTCCTTCTTGGGGTCGTAATCCTCGTCGTTCTCCACATCGTCCTGGTAACCCAGACTGGCTTCTGATTCGCTGATGTCTTCGTAGTCATGGTTACCATCCCCAGCTGCATTCAGGTCGATGGTTACCCCTCTTTTCAGCTGTGGGTAGGACAAGTAGATGTTACAATGAAAGACAGAAAGTCCTGACAGCAGAAACCTGCTTTGGTTTTCAAAGTGTTAAATCTTAAAACAAAGTCCAACATTTTCCAATGAGATGTTTTAATAGTTTCTGTCCTGACTTTACCATATTTCTGATCATCATTCAGTTGGGATGGCATTTCTTACACCTCCTTTCTAGCACGTTTATAACATAAATCTGTGATATCTGTGTAAGAACTGTACCTGTGACTGCAGGTACTTAGAGCAGATGTCTGAGATGACAATGATCTTCAGCACCTGAGCAGCCTCCATCACACTGGCCACATTGTTCTCATCTAGGGCCAACTTGGACGTGTAGGTGTGCTCCAATACCTGCAGAAAAAAAGGGTTGTGTGAGAAGGAAAAACATCACTTGAGAGAAATTGGAAGATATCTTACGTACAAAATTGCAGGAATTCGTGACAGTTAACACAGTTTAAGAGAAAAATTGGAAGATGTCTTACATACAAAATTGCATGAATTTGTGCCTTGAACAGTTTACAAATTTACCACAGAAAGAAGCATAGCCTAGAAATACAATGTATGTGTATAATGAAATGTTCCATTATACATTATCAACATTATCTTTGGCGGCCTTCAAGATATAGTAGGTTTAGAAAAAAAAGATACAGTAGGTTTAGAAAAAAAAGGACTAACCTGGCTGAAGCCTTCAGCAGTGATGTCAGTGATCTCCACAAAAGGGATGTGTTTGACGTCTTTCCGTGTGAAGACAGAGTTGAAGTAACTGCTGCAGGCCGCCAGCATGGACTTGTGCGCGCGGAACCGCCGGCCCTCCACGATGATGGTGACGTCACACAGCAGACCGTCCTCTCGCTGCTGGTTCAGCTTCTTCAGAATGTCCTTACTGTGGTGCGGCGTCTCGTGGATGAACTTCCGCATGGAGGAGGTGGCGGAGGGAGGCATCACAGCAGGGTCCTCCGTACTGGTGGAGGGTTCAGGGGGATGGGTCTCCTAGTGAAAGAAAACATTGACATCAGCTAATCATTCAAGGAAACTATAACTATTCTGCATCTCAATAAAGAAAAATACCATGATATAAATTCCGATTTACACATGCAGCGGAGTAAATATAAGTGTATGGACATTGTTGTGGTTCCTATAGCTGGGAAGGTTATGGTGTAAAGCTAAAGGTTAAAAGTAGGGTGAAAGACAGATGTTGTCCTTAGTTCAAGGTAATGAAAGGTTAAGGCCTTGCTTCTGGATCACAGGGTTATGGGTTTGAATCCCGTTCCAATTGCTGGTGTTTTGAGTCTAGGATCTGCATGCAAATTGGCCTATACAGCACAGTCACGGGACACCAGAGGCCTTACACGATTTCTTCTGCCAGGGATCCTCAGACACAGGGAACAAGCCATGATAAATAATGATTAATCTTTTATTAGCTAAAACGTGCAGTCCCTAACTGACAACATGTTTCAAAATTCTGATTTCATGGTGTATTTTAGTGTAAGTAGAACAGGGGTCTCCCCAGGCAATGGTGCAACGGCGGTGCGCCACTCCCAAAATTTCTAGCGCCACTCCCAAAATTTTCAAATTAAGGGTCTTCTCTTTGTATTTTCGCGGATAAATAGGCAAAAAACATCGAAATCTTGACGCGAGTGGCGTCCATTTTCCCGTCGGCATTGTTTCTGAAACTTGTGAATGGGCGATAAACGAGTAAACAATGACCATTTCGCACGACGCAACCGAGAGAATAGCTGTCATTGGTGGAACATCGGGCGCCCCGCTAGCGTTTTTAAGTCATGTAAACAACGCTAATTGTCTGATTGGTTTGTAAAACAAAGCCCTCGACCCCGAAAATAAGTTTATAAAGCCGATGCGTTTACGAACTAGCCGTGGAAAATTCCCTACCGTACCGCACCATGAGCATGTGTGGGCCGCAAAATTCGGTTAACGCAACAGATAAATGTCTGGGCCAGTATAGCGGCATTTCCCATGAAAATAATGTATGTTGTTTATTTTTCGCCTGCTGTCGGTTTTTAAGTTCCAAACCGTCTGAAAAAGCAGAAATTTGCTCACAAAACCGGACGGGGGAAGGCGAGTCGCTATCGGCGTGAAGCACATTGCGAGGCCTTTTTAAAAATCGGTACCGCGGAAGAAAAATGCGTGGTCCATTTTAGCGATATTTACCATGAAAATAACGTATGTGGTTTATTTTCCCTCTGATGTTAGTTTTTAGGTCCCGAAACCCCTAAAAAAGTAGAAATTTTCCCATAAAACGCACGGCCGAGGGGTGGGAGGGCGGCCGGCACAGAGCTGCATGACCCGTAAAAAGTCAAAGGTCATAGTGCACGCATATTACGCAATCACCCTAAAGCGCCGATTTAGCTAATTTTAGGGCGTTTAAAATTGATAAAATCACATTATTGATTTTTAAGAAAACAATGGGATGGAAACTAATCAAAACTTTGTGCTGAATAATTTTTTTTCTTCAGAAGTTTTTTTCTTCAGAATTTTTTTTCTTCAGAAGTTTTTTTCTTCAGAAGTTTTTTTTCTTCAGAAGTTTTTTTTCTTCATAAGTTTTTTTCTTCAGAAGTTTTTTTCCTTCAGAAGTTGCTTTTCTTCAGTTTTTTTTCTTCAGAAGTTTTTTTCTTCAGAAGTTTTTTTCTTCAGAAGTTTTTTTCTTCAGAATTTTTTTTCTTCAGTTTTTTCTTCAGTTTTTTTCTTCTTCAGTTTTTTTTCTTCTTCAGTTTTTTTCTTCAGAAGAGGTTTTTTTCAGAAGTTTTCTTTCTTCAGAATCCAGACTTTGACCAGACTAGACAATGTACCATACCAACTAATCATTATGTTGAAATGGATGTGTATATTTTGTTGTACAAATACTCATTAATGCCCTACATTTGTACTTAATTTGGCTTGATTTTCTATCTCTTTAGTTAGTAACATTTTTAACTCAAGTTGCAGGAGAAGGCTACAAACTGCATTTCAGAAGGGTAAAAATGCAACAGCTTCTCCTACGGAGAGGGGGGGAAGTCCCCCCCTCCTCCGGACCTCTCCCCCCC